AGCACCAAGGGTTGCGATCCCGTTGCCGGTCCCAGTCCGGTACGGGCGCGACACTGAGGGTTGCGATCCGTTGCCGAACACGAAAAAAGACAAAAAGGAAAAAAAAAAAAGGACTTTGATGATTGATATATTTATAAAAATACACAAATTCCTTTGTAACAATAGAAAAATTCTCTGTATCTTTGTGGCCAGTGACCTTTCCTGGTGGAACAGTGGTTAAAAATTCTTTTAAGATTCTACTTTCTACAGTGTGATGACATGAAAAAAATGAAGACACTGAGTAAATAAAAATGAATGCAAATTTAAGTTCAGAGTTCCAGTCTAAGATGCTGTGGCTACGGATATTGATGCACGGGCCCATCCGCGAGGTGCCAGTGGGGGACCGCGGTGAGGTGTGGACACAGCACTCTCCACACGCTGCCGACGACAACATGAAACCGCCAAACCTTCCTGCAACACGTGAGCTACCTCCTCTGTGACTCCATTGCTAGGAGTTTATCCTGAAGAAACAGACAAGAGCACAAATAGCTGTGCAGAAAGGCGCTCACTGTACTGCTATTCACAGGAGCAGGAAAGACGTCCCATCAGGAGGCGTGGGTTTAATGAAGAGCAGCCTTACAGCTGAGGGAAGGCAGCTATTAAAAATGACAAGACACAGACAGATGGATAGACCAAACAAGAGAAACAGGATCGGAGAGAAGCACACACACGCGCGCGCGCGCGCACACACACGCACACTTTCTCTTACACAAAAAGATGCCACAATGTATTTAGTAACAAACAAAAAACCCATTATAAAACAGCCATACTGTTTTAAAACAGGATGATTCACTGTCATTTAAGAAAAATGCACTTATGCACATATAAAATCTAGGAAAATACACATCCAGCCATTAACTGGAGTTAGTTCCTCTGGAGAGGTTGATGGGGGAAGACTGTAGGATAGGAGAAAGGAGCATTTTCACTTTTTACTTAGTATACTTCCGGACTGCTGACATATTAAACAGTAAATAATACATCATTTAATATATTAATATAATTAATTATTATATATTTAATATATTAAACAGTAATCAATCAGGGGCTAAATGTTTACATTAGTAAACTGCTAAAAATGATAAATATGTTTGCAAACAATGCACAAAGGAATATACACATTAAAAACAGACCATTCAGCTTTCAAATGCAGCCCCATGCTGTGTGAGATCAGCCCTACGTTCAGAGAAACGGCCTGAACAAAACTCTCAGCACAGTTATCGGTGGGTGATGGGATTACGGATGATTTTTATTTGTTTTGCTTATCTGCATTTTCAGACATTTCTACCATGAACCTGAATTACTTTTTTAATTAGAAAAGCCAATGAGAAAAGTTAGAGAAAGAGAGAGGAATGAACACAGTCACCCAGGGGTTTAAGAAGGATCAGCTGTACATTCGAGACGTCTTTACCCAGAACTCAAAAGACTCCGAATTCAAGCACCCAGCTAATCCTGCGAAAATTATATTTTTTCTTTAATGCTTGCCGAGTACTTGAAAACGTATTTCCATGATGCTACTTTAGGTCTGCGTGGGGGCTGGGGGGAGGGGGAGTATACTTTATGCACTTATGGCAGAAGAAATGTTTTGTACATAGTCCCTGGAGGGATATTTTTCCAGCATTTGCCAGGTGCCGGCCCAGTGCCAAGTGTGAAAGGCCACAGTGGAGACCAGGAGAGGAGACAGAAGAAATGTTTTGTACATAGTCCCTGGAGGGATATTTTTCCATCATTTGCCAGGTGCCGGCCCAGTGCCAAGTGTGAAAGGCCACAGTGGAGACCAGGAGAGGAGGGGGCAGAACATTCTAGACCGTGGGAGCCACACATGCAAACGCCTTGTGGTGGGATTGTGGTGGGATGGGATGGCGCCTGGGAGGCTGTTATGGGTTGAATTCTGCCCCCCTAAAAAAGGCACGCTGGAGTCCTAATCTCCAGGAACTGGGAATGTGACCTTATTTGGAAATAGGGTCTTTGCTGATGTAATCAGGTTGAGATGAGGTCATTTGGGCAGGCTCTAATCCAACACTACTGTGTCCTTTAAAAAGGGGCAATTTGGACACAGAGGCACGCACACAAGGAGAACGCCATGTCAGGACGGAGGCAGAGACTGGACTGATGTGTGCGCTCCTTGCAAGTCAAGGAACTCCAAAGATTGCCAGCAAAACACCAGGAGCTGGAGAGCCGCTGAGAACAGACACTCCCTCGCAGCCTCGGAAGGAACCAACCCTGCCCACACTTTGATTTTGGTCTCCTGGCCCCCAGACCCTGAAGACATAAATTTCTGTTACTTCAGCCACCTGTCTGTAGCACTCTGTTGCAGCGGCCCCAGGAAACTAAGACAGTGGGACTGAGAGAAGGCTTGTGTGGCAGGGGCTGGAGTGACATCCCCATGGCTCCATGCAGGGCAAAGGACCCTGCAACCCAAAGCACACATACCTGGGTCTCAAGTTCTGTCACTTCCAAATTCAGCTTGTTCAGGTGCTTGTTCACAAAAGTGATGAGAGACTGTCAAGGCAAAGAGACACAGGGTCCATCAGTGACCACGTTCAGTTCCCATCTGGTGGGGCAGATTCCACAGGTGCCGGCGCCAGCTTTGTGAAGTGCTTCCATAATCTCCTCCATTTGCTCAAATAACAAGCCTGTGCTTCCCACGCAACGTTCTTACAACAGCCCTCAGTTGTATGGACGATGCCTACGTCCATCCCAGCTGGAGAAGAAAACACACTTCCCTGTTCACCAACCCATGCACACATGTGCCCATCCACACACAGCGCCTAATCTGACAATCATAAAGAAGAATAATCAGTGTCCTTAAGAAGCATGAAACTGTCAGGGGAAGATAGGTTTTCAAATGTACCCTACATGTAACCTCGAAAAAAAGGCACACTCAGAAGATGGAGAGGGAGCAGCTGCCTCGGGCCACCCCTACTGCACTCTCAGGAGGTGGGAGACCCATCCAGGGCTTTATCTCAGGCTGCGGGGATTTTCTGAGCCTTGTTCCATACCTACCAAGGGGCACTGGCTTCTCTCTGGCAAAAGATTAAAATTTGTCACCTATAACTTATCAACAATCAAACCCAACTTCAATGGAAACTCATTACCACCCCACCCCACCCCACCCCTGGATGTGGTATCATTTCTTATTCATTCTACCCAAATTTACTGAGCAGCTACTATGTGTCAGGCACTCTGCTTGGTGCTGGGGACATAAAGACAGCAAAAGAGAGCCCCACCCTCAAGAGCCTGGGGCATAATTTCCATATACCCATAGTGGTGGGAACAGAGACGTCAGGAGACACAGCGACACAGGGGGAAGCTATACTAGCACAGAAGGGAGGTGAGTGGACCCCAAAGACACCAGAGACAGGGAGGATTGGAGTTGGCCCTGGGGGGTGGGGGCCGAGTAGGCACCCAGGCCACGTACACATCTGCAGACTCTTTGGGGTCTTCAGGCCATGGCTGGATGTGGGTGGGATGGGAGTAGGAGGGGGTGACCTAGGGAGAACCTGGGGAGGTGGGCAGGGGCCCCTGTGCCCATCCTGGGGCATGGGGAGCCACTAACACAGCACCTTGCAGTGTGGGTTGACGAGGGTGTGGCTGGAAGTACGAAGCTGTCAGGCAAATGAGAGGACTTTGTCTTGTCCATTGCTGGTGGCGCCCGTGCCCAAAATGTCTTTTCAAAAAATGAATTAACATCATATCTACCGGAAATTAAAAGCTACCCTTGAGCCACATCATATTCAACACAATTGGTGACCATGGACTGCACGCTAAGCCCTTGCACAGACATGATCCCAGTTTATCCTCATGGCGCCCCTGAGAGGTAGGTAATGTCTCTGTCTCCACTTGACAGATGGGGAAATTGAGGCTGGAGGGGTATAAGCTGTCACAGGTCACGCAGATGGTAAATGAGGGAGCTGAATTAGATTCATCCACCGAACCAGCTCCGCCGGGGTCCCTGGGGGCTAGGTGTGGTCATGGCAGGGTGAGGGGCACTGCTCTGAGGACCCAAGAACACTGGGTCCTTTTGCAACGTGCTTCCGAGAACTAATGATCTCATTGTCTGAGCCTGCACCAACATTTTCCAAAAGTGGGTTCCCAAGGATGTAATGAGTTCTATCCCCAAATTAATAAATAAGTAAATCCCACTATCAACAAACAAGTTTGAGAAATGCTTCCACCCGAGCCCCTCTTGGAGAGTTGCAGCGCAGGCTGGCATAGGAAAGGCTCTGACAAGGCCTGCACTAGGAAGCCTATTGAGGGAAGCTGTCCTAGACAAAGGAAAACTCCCTCCCCTAGGTCATGGCTGGAAATGACCGTTCCTCCTGCCTCCTCGAATGGGACATCTGCAGGTGCTCAGATAACTCCATGTGCACCTCAATTCTTTTTGTGGGAAAAGACTTCCTGGCAGATCCCCCGGAAGCTGATCATTCCCAGCCCCTGACTCCAGAGCCTTCGGTTCACATGGTTTTTTCTCATCTGCAGACTGACCAGTGAGCTGCCTGGGCTGGGGAAGACCCTGTCCTCTGTGCTCCTGTCTGGAGGGAACCAGGCCAAATCCATCACGGAACAGCCAGCACAGGCCTGCTTCTTTACTGGGCAGGCTGCGAATCCAGCTTCATGGTAATGAGGCCAGAGAGAGCCTGCAGGTTGACACACTTAAAAACATTTCCACATTGATAAAAGGAATGACCTGCCACACCGACGCTGGCTCAGTAATTCACTTAACAGAAGCGGGGCCAGTGGGCAGGAAGATACCCAGGGAGCAGAGGTGTTGAGTTAAAAGGCACTAATTTTACGCACCGTAGTTACGTTTTTGACTGTAATTACATTGCAATCCACGTGGCAAACATTTCAGAGATTCCAAACGTTTTCCCACCTTCTCCCCAGCAGGCACTTGCTGTACAGGAGCCTGAGACAGGAGAAGGCATCATCCGTGCAGAGCTTACCTTCTTCACCACGCTGAGCTTATCCGGCGCGTGGTCGAAGAGCGTGTCGAAGGCATCGCGCTCTGCGAGGACATGCAAGAGAGACACGTGGAGAAGCGTTTATGGAGACACGCGGTGCTGCCCTAATCCCCCCGCTTCCCGGGACGTGCCAGCTTCTGGCCCTCAGGAAGTTCGGCCTCAACACTCACACCTGCCTAGAATCCTCTTAATTCCTGCCAGATTTGAAGGGCTGATGCTGATGACAGAAAGTCAGCATAGTTCAGAACCACCACCAAGAAAGGTTGGACTAGATGCTTCTAAAGTTCCTTCCAACTCAGTTTTCAGCTTTTCATACGAAGTACAGGGATAGCACTTACATCTGAGGACCTGAGGCGTCCTGATCGCTCCCTTTTCCCACAGTCCATCTTCCAATAAATTTTGTCTGTGAATCCGACCACTTGCGCCTCTGCCTCACCTGCCTCACCTGCCTCCCCTGCGCACGCCCCGCGCCCCTGCCTGGGAGCAGCTACTGCCTCCTGCTGAACTGGCCCCTGCTCCACGCCTGGCCCCTCCCCAGCACTCTCCCGCAGGCAGTGAGCCCTTTAAAGTGCAAACCAGGTCATTTCCTTTCCTCCTCCCCATACAGGCCCTGACTAAAACCCTCCAACAGCTTCTGATCACTCCTACAATCAAATTCCTTCTGTCTCCTGTGGGCCTGTGGGATCTAACAGGCTCCATATCATCTCCAACTCACTCGACCTCCTGACTTCTCCCCACCAGCCGGTCCGTTAGCTGCTCCTGTGCCACACCAGGCACACAGCTGCCTCAGGGCCTTTGCACCTGCTGTTCATGCTGTCTCCCTTCCTTTAGGTTGCCCTGATGTCACCCCGCAAGGGGTGCCCTGCCCCACTGCCTGTCCTCTGGCTCAGGTGCACTTTTTTCACGGCACCTATCACTACTTGAAATTCCGTTCCATTTTTATTCACCTGCGGAGTATTATCTGCTGTCTCACTTGTTCTCTGCACAGCCTCCAGCTCCAGAACAGTGAGGGGTCGGCAGCTGGTGCTTAGAACAAATGCATGAGCTAGAGACCCTGCTCCAGAATGTCTCTACAGCAGCCTTCTGAGGGCATCTGCCTCTGCAGGGGTATCGTCAACAAGCAACTCACTTGTCCCCCAGGTGTCCTGGCCGTCTTCCTTCTCCCAGGTGAGCCTAACCTGCTCATCTGCCACTCAGGGGCCCAACCAGCCTTCCAAATTAACCCAGAATAAATCCCTTCCCTTTCCAACCTGAGGCCACTGAAGGCTATCAATGCTGCTCTCAAGGCTTGGGGCTGGCTGCAGCCAGGTACCTGGTTCTAGCGTGGCTACTGCCATGGGTGGGGAGGGGTCACATGGAGGCACATGGGACAGAGACTGCTGCAGCCAGGACCCCAAGCAGAGAGCTGAAGCCTCCAGGGTGTATGCAAAGCTGTGTGGAATCACTCTCAGGGCAGAAGGAAGGGGGAGGAGAGAATTTGGGAGGGGGACGGGGCCCCCAACATCTGTCCTCAAGTCCCTGGGGACAATATATGTGCAGAGGACTGAGGCCAGCAGAGAGACCCTCTGTTACTAGCCAGGGCTTGGACCCAAACCCAAAGTGGAGCCCTGGGGAGCTGGGGAGACCAAACTGACAGGGTGGACGAGGAAGTCTCCTCCCACATGTCTGCAGGTGACCCAAGGGCCTGCTTCAGGGACCACCCTGGCCTGTCTAAGGACTGAGAAAAGAGAAGGCACCTGGTGAACCAGAGGCCCCAAAGGAGAGGAGCCAGCCAGGCCTTCTCCTGCAGGAAGTAGCCTGGCCCTTCCCCGAAAAGACGGTGCTTGGCACAGAAGGACCAGGGCCCCAGGAAGCAGCTCACGGCCCAGCCCAGGCAGCCTCTTCCTTGGGCTTGTGGGTAGGCAGTGGGTGGTGGGCGGTGAGAGGCAAAGAGGAAGGGAGAGAAGTGTGCATGTGTATACATGTGTGTGTTTATGTGCATGTGTGTTTGGGGGAAGGGAGGGAGGTTTCCTTCACTAAAGACTGACATTGACCAAAAGGCCCCACCCTCCTGACCCACCAGCTTTTCTAACGCAGCGGCTGTAAATTATTTTTATAGTCATCTAAGTCAGATTATACTCAATAAGACAGTCTGCTAAGGGGACCAGAAAAAGCTAAATCTTTACAAAGCAACACACAGACTTTAAATGCAGCTTAAGAAAAACCCCAGGAGCAAAGAGAGCTTGACGTCAGCCGGGGTATATTTAGCCAGGCCACCGCCAGGCTGGCGGAGTCAAGCCACGCGGGGAGGCACCGGCGCTGCAGGGGCGCCTCCATGCCGGCCACTCACCTGCACCCAGGGGACGGAGCAACGTCACACAGCCCACTCGGCTGGGGCAGGGGGGCTACGAAAAGGGGCAGCGGGGACCCGGACAGGCCTTTGCTGCACCCCTGTGTTGTGCTCGGCCTTGGGAATAAAATCAATCTGGGTTCAAACATAGTTGCTCGATTTAAAATCTCACGATGTTAGGCGAGTTGCTTCCCTCTCCAAACCCACTCCTCCTCTGTAAAGAGAGGGCCTTGGGAATAAAATCAATCTGGGTTCAAACATAGTTGCTCAATTTAGAATCTCACGATGTTAGGCGAGTTGCTTCCCTCTCCAAACCCACTCCTCCTCTGTAAAGAGAGAGTACTGAGTGTCCCCACCTCAACCCTGTGCAAGGATGAACCAGGCACTGAATGAAGCGAGGAGCAGACTGCCTGCCGGGCACATCAGGTCCTCAGCGCTCCCTCGTCCTGCCCCCAGCCGACTTCCTAGGGACATCACAGACATAAACAAGGATAGCCCTGCTGTTGAGACGGGCACAGGTGGGGGGGGGCCTGGGGAGGGGGTAGACTGTGGCGGGACAACCCTGTGTTGGGGCAACCCTGTAAGTGTTGGAAAAGAGGAACCCAGAGAGGGGCCAAATCGACCAGAGCGTGCCAGTGTCCACCCAAGTTCAACCCGCAAGAATGCTTAGCCTGGTCCATATAAAGCTGTTTTTGTTTGAGTCAACGTTTCTAAAATTGGAAGGTTTGTCCAAAAGTTCTGAATGTCTGGCTGCTCTGGAAGAACTGGAGGCTGTGGCAACAGCAAGCCTACTCTCCCCCCGGCCCCAGTGAGCTGCCCGTGGGGACAGGGGTGCGGACTCTCCAGTTTGCCCCAGACCCCACCACTCCCCACTGTCACCCAACACTGAGGCTGAGGGGCAGCTGCGTTCATCATTTTATAATCTAGCCACTTCCCGCTTCCATGTTACTGGCCTGGTGCCTGGAGGCACCTGAGTATCGGGCCCAAGGGCCAGGGGCGGGGGGGCCAAAGAAGGCTCCACAAGGGCCCCTGAAGTTTGAGCCGGGCTTGCTGGGACAAGAAGAGGAGGAAGGGCATTCCAAGAGGAGGGAACAGAAAGTGCAAAGAGAGGTTCGAGAGAGCCCAGAGGAGGTTCACGAGTGGGGGTGCCGGTGAGGGGGGCTAGCAGGCTGCACCCTGCTGTGTGGGAGTCGTGCAGGGCGCAGTGACCAGGGGTGGTGAGATCGAGCTGGAGTTTTTAGAACGAGCTCGCAGGCAGGAAGGGGGAGAGACAGGACAGGGAGGGGGCAGCTCCCCTTCTCCCCCCATGTCCTGACATTGACCCGACACAGCTTCGGCCTCCGGAAGGGGCTCTGGGCTGGTGGAAGCGGGGGAGGGGAAGGGCCCAGCAGAGAGAAGAGGTGAGAGCGAACCAGTTGCCATGGAGATCAGGCTGCAACCTCCCAGCTCCCGGGAGAGGGAGACTCGTTTCCAGGGGAGAGAAAAGCATCCTCGCCCCACCTCTGCCAGGACAGTGACACTGTCAGGAGGCGGGTGGGACCCTCGGGAGCCCACTCAGCTGCTGGAGTGATGGGGGATGGGGCCGGTTCCTGGGTTCAGTGCGCTCACAGGTGAGGCCGAGAACACGCTCCTGGCAAAGCCAGCGGGCAGCCATGGCCAGGAGGGTCTGCCTGGTGTCTGGAAGCTCCAGGAACGTTTGGTATCTGCTGGTGGGGACTGAGACCCAGGGCTGGCTGCTGTGGGGGGTGCGGGTGGAGGAAGAGACGGTCCCCACCCACAGGGCGCTTCCAGTGCAAGGAGCTGTGTGTGAAGGGAGAGGGGGAAGGGTGGCGGGTGCCCTGGAAATTTCGCCGGCGCCACTGTCTGCCAGGTACATGGAGGCTTACGTGTGTAAACACTGACGCAGGGAAGACAGGCCAAGCACCCCTGAGCAGAGAGCGCTCTGCAGTGTGAAAGATGATTACAGGCATATGAGTAAGGGGGGGAGGAGAGCCAGAGGGTGCTAGTTTGGGGCAGCGGGGTAGGGAGGGCCTCCCCGATAAGTGACATTTGAGCCAAGAGCCAGAAGAACTGAAGGCGTGAGCCATGGAGTAATCTAGAGGGAGAGCATTTCAGGCGGAGGGTGGTGGAAGCGGGAGCGCTCTCGGGTGTTCTCAGAATGGTGAGGGAGCCGCGAGGCTGGGCCCGGACGCGAGGTGAGAACAAGAGGCCAGAGAGGAGGTGCGTGCTGTCCAGAGGGGTGGTCTGAGAGGCTCGTAGAGGCCACTGCATGGGCTGCGAGCAGAACAGGGGCGTGATGAGGGGGCTTTAGGAAGCACCACCCCAACAATTGTGCAGAGGAGCAGCCAGCAGGGGCATCGGACACCAGCATGCCCGGGGGGAAGCATCACCTGGAGGACCCAGGCAGGGCAGTGGGCTAGAGGGCGGCTGCAGGAGGTGAGTGTGGGACAAGACAGACCACTGCTCCCACGGGGAGGTGCTGGCCAGAAGCCCAGCTGTGCCCGAGGTGGCCAGGCTGGGGACCAGGAGGCTTTGGAGCTTGCGTCAGCAGAGGCAGGGAGGCCGGGGGCGGAACTAATTGCCTGTCACCGCTAACAGCCTGTGTGCACCTCATATGCACAGGGTGGAAAGCCCAGGAGGTACTGAGAACAGCTGCACAGACCTCTCATTGTCCCACCATCCCCCCAGCGGCAGCTGAGTCCCCTTTCACATTGTGACATGCGGTTCTTACCTAGGGTCACTGCCCTGAGTACCAGACCCCAGAGGGGCTCCTCCTCCCTTGGACCATGGGAGGCAACACACAGCCCCAGGCGCGTGAGCCCCCCGCCCACCACAGAGCCGATTCTCTTTAAATTCCCTAAACCTCAGACTAGACAGAGTAACACCTCTGCAGAAAACCGGGGACAACACTGAAAACCCTCTCTTCATCCATATCTCTACAATCCCAAGGGGCCTGAGCCGCTTCTGTGCAGAAAGGATGGAGAGGAGGTGCCATAGAGCTGCACCATGTCCCCAAACTGGGCCTCCTCCTAGACACGGACAGAGTGACGATGCCCGCTGGCTCCACTGGGGCATCCCACGCCGGCCCCGTGACCCCACTGTCTGCTCCCTCAGCAACTGTAAACGGGAGGCGTCCCTTCCTCTTTATTTGTTTTTTAGTAATAAAATCATTAAAAAGAACTGAATTGCTCCTTAAAAAAATAAATAGTGAAGGCCTGTGAATTTTCCCAGCACAGCTTAAGGTCTACTAAAGAAAGCTTAGGGGACACATAATCGCTGCATTTTCTTGAGTTCAAGAGCCTTCAGAATTTAAGGGCTGCAAGCCCTCTTCAGATGAAAGTAACAGTGGTGTCGCAGCCTGTGGCCAAGCCAGCCTGCCCTCATGGTAGAGGACCCATGGGGTGTCACCCTCCACCCAGAGGCCCCTGAAGCAACAGGGACCAACTCCGGGTTGGCAGGCTCAAGGACAGCAGGGAAGCTTCTATTTGGCTTTCACTTTCCTTCTAACAGCTGCCCCCCGTCCCCTCCGCCCACTGCAGAACACAGACAGTATCTGGGGGTCGAGTGCTTTGCTTTGAAATATTCCTCGAGGCAGACAGCCTGGCTGCGGCTCTGGGGCTTCCCATCTCTGAGGGTTTAAGTGCTGCCACTAGCTGCTGGTCCCTTTGTCCCCCCCCCCTCGCTGAGATGAAGATGGAGTCGTGGGCTATAATGGGGTAAGAGGGAGTGATCGTCTCCCTGTTTGGGAACAGCTGTGGAAAACTAGCAGCAATAACCGCCCCACACAGAGTGCCAGGCCCTGGGCAAGCAGCACGCATGTGATCATGTCACTCAGTCCTCTCAACGACCCCGCCAGATCCTGGCAGAACCTCCTACTGTCCCATTTCACAGATGGGCAGCAGAGCAGAAGGACAGGCCAAAGGCCACCAGCTGGACCACGGCCGCGGCCACCAACACTAAGGAAGTCTGTTAGGCAGAGCTTCTCAGGTGGAAGATGTGTGTATGAAGGTTCGCCTGCAGGGAGCGTCTCTCCCGGCTAAGCAGGCTCTGCGTGGGCCCAGGCCACCTCCCTCCTGTCATCTTCCTTCCCTCCTGCTCTGGCTCCCGCCGGTGAGAGTGAGAGCGTGCCCCAGACACGGCCCGCTGCTCCTTCCGCCCGGGCAGGCTTCTGCCTCGCTCTTCTTAGCGCCACCCAGCCCCTTGCAGCTCTGAGAAGCAAAGTCACGAGCCTGTAATATGGGGGAAGGGGGCTGCTCATGTTCTCGAGGATTCCAGAGCCCCTGGGAGCAGCGAGGCCCGCGTGGGGTCCTGCTTTCCCGGCATGATAGCATGAGCCCCCCCAGGAGCCTCCTGGGACNTAGGATTCCAGAGCCCCTGGGAGCAGCGAGGCCCGCGTGGGGTCCTGCTTTCCCCGCATGACAGCATGAGCCCCCCCAGGAGCCTCCTGGGACAGTCCAACGTGCTGGCGATCTCAGACTCCCCCTTCCCACCCCCAGCCCATTACTTACCAAACCGGCCCATCATCATCCTGCAAACAAGAACACAGAAAGTGGTCAGACGGGTCAGTTTACTAAGGAGCATGACGGAGCACGATGGCTGCCCAGGGCAAGGGCTACTGAGAGCAACGCAGCCCACAGTCTGCTCCATTCTGAGCCACTGGAATTGCAGACGAGGCACTCATGGATAACTGATGTCTGCCCAGGCCAGCTGCAGATCACCATGCTCACCTGCACATTAACCAGCCGTTAATGCCACCTGGAGGGGAGGCATCTAAACCTTGAGAGGGACTAACACGGAGAAGACTTCAGCAGGAGGCAGGTCTTCCAGCAGCCACTGAATGGCAAACCTTAAAGAACAGGCTGCAGACTATCCAAGGGTTGCGATGCAGTGAGTGAACACAATGCACTTTCAGGGACTCAGGAAACAAAACGATTCTAAAAAGACCAGGCTCCGATTCCAAGCAAGTGACGCTGAAAACATGAAGGACAATGACTATCTTCTTGAAGATTTCCAGAGCATGAGCGTACTGTTCTTTTCCATGAGCTGCCTTACTGAGAGGCAAAGACATCTTTATTTCACCCCCCACCCAGGCTCATGTCCTGTGGCTCCACCTTATTTAACAACATTTTCTTGCACACCTACTATGTGCAGACCATGGACATACAGAAGGTAAACCCCTCATAGCCCCTGCCCTCAAGACGTCCAGTGGGAAGAGACAAGCATAAGCCATGTAGGAGACGCCACGGGAACTAAAAGCAGCCAACCATGGAGAGCTTCTTGGAGGGGGTGACCTCACAGGTTCTTCTACAAAGAGAAATAGGAAGGACACTGAGACTAGTGGGAGGTGGCAGCACCACCTTAAGAAACTAAATGTGGATCTTTGGGCCACTAAGTGGTTTTCAGCAGACATCCCATGATTTAGATGCCCCATCAGTTCCCCTGCAGCCACGTGGAGGGGAAGGGACAGGAGACAGCAACTGGGAGTCTGGAGACCAGGATAGCAAAATGAGCCATGAGAACTGGCCTGGATGTCAGCCTGGAGAAGGGACCGCCCACCTCTCCAGGACCCACCCCCTCTCCCCGGTTCCTGCCAGCAGAGTGACGCTGCCTCGGGGCTAGGAAACCCCAACTCCATCCCTTGCTGCTCAGGACTGTCTGGCATCCAGTTGAAACAGCTCCCACTGGAATCTCCCCATCCTGACTTTGGGGCATTCCCCATCCTCCTGAAAACTACTTTAGGGCCCTGAGGCACTTCCCACATGCCCCTGTGCTGGATTTTACATTTCTTCAGGTATGTCCTTCCTTGCCAGCCTGATGGCCAGCCCTGAAGGAGGGGAACTACATCCCACACAGCTCTCAGCACCTCTCAGTGCTCCGCACATTGCCTGGAACACAGAGGACCCTGTGTGTGCTGTTCACTGCTGCTGAATTGCCGAGGCCATTCTCGCAACCCCTCACTCGTTCTCCAATTGTCTCAGGACCATTCTGGTTCTACCCAGGATGACTGCCAAGCTCCCAGCTCCTCCCTGCTGCCGTCTCTCCTGTCCTCCTCACCCGGTGGGAGACTGCAAAAGACGGCCACAGCTTCTTCCCATCGCTGCACACCCCCTGCTGCAATGTGCCTGGGCGTCAGGAGGCGGAGTCTGTCTCCCACCTTCTGATCCAGGACGGCCTGTGACTTGCTTTGACCCACAGAAGTGAGGACATGGGGTAAGCATCCAAAATAAGGTCTCAAGGGCCTGCAGCTGCTCTCCCTCTCTGGGGACCCTGGGGGCTCCATGAGGAGGAAGGACACGTAGGGGAGACCATCTCAGCCTGCCCAGCCCCAGAAGAGCCTCCCCAGCCCCAGAAGAACCTTCAGACGTCTGCAGTCACATGAGCAACCCTGGGCAAGACTAGCCAAAGAACCACCCTGCTGAGCCCACTCCAAATTGCTGAGCCTCAGAACTGGCAGCAGCAAATGAAACAGCTGTCGTCTTCAGCCACTTGGCTCTGAGGGTGGTTTGTTACAGAACAACAGGCACCTAAGACACCACCCCAACCCCAAATCTTCCCAAGCTGCCCTCCTACTGCTGAACAGGCCAAACTGCTGCTAAGGGGATGCTGTGCTGGGCACAGAACCGCATTCTCCACCCTCCCCTCCCCCTGCTCTCCTCTCTGTTCCCTTTCACAGGCTTAGAACAGACCTGGAGGCCACCTGCCAGGCTGTGCACATGCGTCAGACCGCACGTCGCATCTCTTCAGTTTCCCTGACAGTGCACACACCACAAGTGGATTCCTGTGT